GGCAGAGGCAGGTGGATCTCTGTGAGTTCAAGGTCAGCCTGGTCTACAGGGCAAGTTCCAGGATAGCCAGAGCTGTTACACAGAGAAACCCTGTCTCAAAAACCATAAATAAATGAATGAATGAAGTATAACTGTGTGTGTCTATGTGTATGAGCATGTGAGTGCAGAGCCTGTGGAAGCCAGGAGGGAGTGTGGGATTTCCTGGAGCTGGAGTTACAGGTATTTGTGAGTCTACCAGGTGGGTGCTGGGATTTGAACTCTGATACAGCAGCCAAGTGCTCTTAATGGCTAAGCTCTCTCTCCAGGTGTTAAAGGCTTGTTTGAACCAGTGATTTCTGAGAATAATAAAGTGGATAATGTGAGTCTGGATGTATCTTTATTTCTAGCACATATCCCCACATCCACACATTCTCCTTAGAAACTCCACAATTATTTATCCTAAGTAAAATTTAATGGGGGACTCCCTCCCTCCCTCCTTCCTTTCTTCCTACCGAGGACTAAATCTTGCTAGGCAAACAGTTCACCACTGTGCTGTTTATGAATGTTTAGAATTTTTTCTGGATTTTTATTTTGAGACAGATCTAAGCTGCCCAGCCAGGCCCTGAATTTGTGATCCTTCTGTCTTGGCCTCCTGAGTAGCTGCAATGACAGACCTGGGCTGTCAGGTCCCCATAGAGTTTATAAATGGTCAAGTCACTCTCCAGAAGGGAGAAGCAAAGTGCCACGATTTCAGGGTGAGGCATGTGACAGATCTACATGAACCACAAATCCCACGCCAAAAGTTGGAGCCACTTTAGGAACACCGATCCTCGGTCACAACTCCCGCATGCGTCGGATGCGGGGCGCCTACTGCTGCTGGTCACGGGGCGCGTCTGACACTCCCCGCCTCACTCGATTACCCACCGAACCGCCTACCGTAGAGAATGACCATCCCCTAACCGGGTCCCCAGGTGTCCCCGACAAGGCACGCTGGGGTCGGGCCCCACGTGTCGAGTGTTTACAGAAGGCAGATGCGCCGGGCAGTATCCCGACGCTGGGATAGCAAGGGGGCAGGGGCCCCCGGCCGTCGTTCATGGGGCCTGCGCGGGCCTACCTGGCTCCGTTCTCGATGTTCCCGCTGCCGGGACTTGGCTGCCTTGCGAAAAGCCGCCGCCATGCCTCCTGGGGTCTAGAAAGCGCTCGGCAAACTCCACGGCCGATACCACAGCACCGGAGCAGCAGCGTACGCCAAGACCACCGGAAGCAGGCCCAGCCGCTTGAGGCTTGCACACTAGACAGCCTATCAGAAGCCTACTTTAACGGAAATACAGCCCCGCTCAAGCAACCCGGACAGGAGGCTTCTGGGAGATGTAGTTTTCTAGACAGGGTCTCGTGATTTCCTCCCCAGTTCTCTTTTCCGCCCGAGAGTGTCCACAGGTCCAGAGACCTAGACTTCACTCGTGCCCGCAAGTTGGCATCTGGGAACACGTGGCTGGCACTGCCCTCTGGCTGAGCTCAGTTTGCCTGTGCGCATGCGCAGTCACCTGCGACTTGGCTGGGGTTAAAATCCTAAATAGAGCAGGGCATGGTGGCTCATGCCTTTAATCCCAGCACTCTGGAGGCAAAAGTTGGCGCGTTTTTTGTGAGTTCAAGGCTCGCCTGTTCTTACATAGTGATTGCTAGGCCAGCTAGGATTGCATAGTGAAATGAAACCCCGTCCAGAAAAAAAACAAAAAAGCAAAACGGGTGATGGTAGCACAGGCCTTTAATCCCAGCACTCAGGAGGCAGAGGCAGGTGGATCTCTGTGAGTTCCAGGCCAGCCTAAAGAACTAGGTCTAAAGAACTAGTTCCAGGACAGCCAATGCTGCACAAAGAAAACCTGTCTCAAAAAAAAGAAAAGAAAAGAAAAAGAAGAAAGAAGAAGAAAAGACGCAAACAAAAACTAGAAATAGTGTGAGTTTACAATAAAAGAGCACTTTTGCCAGGAGGTGGTGGCAAACGCCTTTAATCCCAGCACTCGGGAGGCAGAGGCAGGCGGATTTCTGTGAGTTCGAGGCCAGCCTGGTCTACCAAGTGAGTTCCAGGAAAGGCGCAAAGCTACACAGAGAAACCCTGTCTTGAAAAACCAAAAAAAAAAAAGAGCACTTTAAAACTTCCTTTGGCTCTACCACTGACTACTAGCTGTATGACTTTGAGCAGGTTTCTTGACTTTAACAAGCATCATTTTTCTCACCCATAAAGCGAAGATAATAATAGCACGCTGGTCTTGCTCATAGTGTGTCAAGGGCACTGAGTTGCAGAATTGTATCTGTAAGCATCGCAGAGAAGAATTGTCTAATAGCAATAAAGTTCTGAGTCCTTCACAACCATCAAAGAAATGGCTAGCTGGCTGACTTAGTGTAAGGTAGTATAATGCGATGGATAGAGCCGTGAACTGTGGTGGGAGTGTTCTGATCCCACCCCTGCTCTTAACCAAGGAAAGGTAGTTGTGCTGAGGTTTGGTATCTGCATCTAGTTGTAAAATAATAAAATAATATTATACCCACAGGATTGTGAGACTTAAGTGACATAATATATTTAAAATGCTTAGTGCTTTGTTTACTTGTTAGCAGGTTCACAATAAGATTGTTTTGTCTCTGTTTTCTGGTTTTACTAGGTTTGGCTTAGTCTGATTTGGTTTGGTGTTTTTGAGGCAGGGTCTGGCTGCCCTGAAACCCACTTAGACCAAGCCGGTCTCGGACTCACAGTGATTCTCTTGCATCTGCAGTGCTTGGGTTACATGTATGCACCAACATGCCGAGCTATCAGTGTTATTTTTAAATCACTAAAGCTACCTCTAAGTAGCCCATTAGAGAGAGTCAGACCCAGCACAGCAAGAAGCGGCATTTGGGGTTGTTTGCTCTGCCTCATTCCTTCTCTCCCCCTCTCTCTCATTCTTATTTTCTTTATCTGTTGGCATTTGGATTCTTTTCCACTATGTGAGGCTAATCTTCAACAAATCTTTTTTTTGTTTTGTTTTGTTTTGTTTTGTTTTGTTTTTTGAGACAAGATCTCACTATGTAGCTCTGGCTGTCACAGAACTCACTAGGTAGACCAGGATGGCCTCAAACTCCCAGAGATCCTCCTGCCGAGTGCTGGGATTAAAAGCATTGCACCCTTATGCAGGCTTTTTAACTGCATCCATTTTACATGACACTGACCACCTCTCCAAGCTGAAGAACGCCCTGGAAACCCTCTTCAGAGAGTCCGGGGGCAAGTGAACTATGACAAAGGTCACAGTATGAAAAGTTTTTTCCTGTCTCTACACACTTGATCTTTGCCCAGTTAGGTCGACATGCATTAGGAAAATTCCATTTTGCTTGTCGTCCTGGAAAAACAAGCTACTTCATGATCTGGGACCACCTTTCCAGCCTCATCTCAAGAAGCTGAGCTATCTCAGACAATGACCAGATGGCTGCTGTATCCACTCCTGCCTTGTCCCCTGAAGAAGTATTAGTGACCAGCAGCAACTGGGGAAGCCATTGCTGTACCCTGGAGGTGGGGGACTCTAGAGTTAGTCCCAGATTGGCATTGCACAACGACCACCTTTTAGTTTGGCATTTAGAGCCACATTATCAAAATCTTTGTAAAGGGAGAGCAATAACTGGTTCACATGGGGTTTTTTAAAGACTAGAAAAGAGACTCTATCTACCATACACATGGCTCCTACACACAGCAGTTAATCATGTTCTCTCTCGGCTTGCCTGCCTGTTCTCTGTCAAAGCCTCTCATTTTAGCCTCTATGACACATAGAGGTTGACCAGGATGGCCTCAAACTCCCAGAGATCCTCCTGCCGAGGTGCTGGAATTAAAAGCATCCATTTTACATGACACTGACTTGCGAGCACAAAGCAAGTTTCTCGATTTGAGAGTGTTTGTTAAGCTTGTGGCCTGCTCTGGACACTGCAGTGTCAAGAGTGAGCAATATACCCAAGGAAGAAAGGGTATTTTCTTAGTTGAAGGAAGGAGATCTTGTGGTTAGAGGCACTGGAGTGATTCAGCACCCAGAGGAAGTCATGAACGGCTTGGGGCAGAAGTGACCAGAGCCTTCTTTTGAAAGGTCTTGCAAGGCAAGAAGACAAGATGGGTCTCTGTGAGCTTGAGATAGGAAAGTGTGTGTAGGCATGCCCTGGGTGGGGAAGGAACAAATATCCCACTTAACCTTAGCCGGTGGCCAAGCACTCTGCTTCCAGCTCTGGCTCAGATGCACCTGTTTCCCAAGAAGGGGGAGAGGACAGATGGGTGACAGGGACAGAGAGTCCATGAGGCTGATCCCTGAACTCCCTGGGGCACGTCTTCCTGGGCCAATGGAAAGAAAGTGAGAGGGAAATGTGAGCCACTGGAAATGAAGAGGAGAAAGGACACAGCCCCCTATCCTGGGTAGTGTCTCCCTCCCCTCCCTCCCCCCCTCCCCCTGCCCCCGAGGCTGGCCAGAGCCAAAGATTTCCTAACTTTCCCTGACCTTTAGACTCCAAGTCCTAACAGCAAAACCTTAATACTTGACCGTGAAAAGGGAGGAGAGGAGGGTTCCCCACCTACTGAAGACTTACCGCATGGTCTCATCCCTCCTCAACAATGGTATCTTCGAGAAAGAGACTGCCTGTCAGAGGTTCACTGACTGCCCAGGTGACGGTTAGGATCAGTTTGGGCATGAGAAGCGTTGACATTTGGCAGTCTGGGTTTCAATCCTGACTTTGCCATTCTTGGTAGTTACTTGATGTATTTGTGTTCCCCTTCACCTTCCTCTACCTCTCCCCTCTTTCTCCACCGGGTCTTACTACGGAGCTGAGGCTGGCTGTATAGACCGGACTGGCCTCGAACTCACAGACAGCTGCCTGTCTCTGCTTCTTGAGTGCTAGGATTAAAGGGGTACGCCACCACAGGCCCAGCCTCCATTTCCCCATCTTTGTTTTGTTGTTGCTGCTGCTACAGGTTAACGGATTTTAATGGAACAAATAAGTATATAATAAAATTTCATTTCAAGAATATGGAGTCCTTTATGAATTTGCATGCCATCCCTGCACAAGGACCATGATAATCTCTGTATCATTCCAATTTTAGTATCTGTGCTGCCAAAATGAGCACCATTTTCTCACCTTTGAGAAGAGGATTAGACGGTATATCTAGGACTGGTGAGACAGCTCAGCAGGAGTGGGGGTGGGGTGGGGGGGAGCACTTGCTGTGTGAATCTGGTGACCTGAGTTCAATCCCCTAAACCTACACTGGCAGGGTCTAACCGACCGTAGGGCCAGCAAGATGACTCAGTCAGGAAAAGTACTTGCCACCAAGCCTGACTATTCCCAGGAACCACAAGATAAGAAGAAAGAACTCCTTCCCACAAGTTGTCCCTCACTTCCTACATGCATGTTCATGTCCATGTACACACACACACACACCAAATTTTTTTAAAGATTTATTTATTTATTATGTATACAGAAGAGGGAGCCAGATCTCATTACAGATGGTTGTGAGCCACCATGTGAATGCTGGGAATTGAACTCAGGACCTCTGGAAGAACAGTTGGTGCTCTTAACCTCTGAGCCATCTCTCCAGCCTCCCCAATTTTTTTTTTGTTTGTTTGTTTGTTTGTTTTTCGAGACAGGGTTTCTCTGTGTAGCTTTTGCACCTTTCCTGGAACTCACTCTGTAGACCAGGCTGGCCTCAAACTCACAGAGATCCACCTGCTTCTGCCTCCCAAGTGCTGGGATTAAAGGCATGTGCCACCACCACCCGGCCCCAATTTTTCATAACTTATTTATTTTACTTATTTTTTGTTTTGTTTATTTATTTACTTTGTTTTTTGTTTTCCGAGACAGAGTTTCTATGTGTAACAGCCCTGGCTGCCCTGGAACTCACTCTGTAGACTAGGCTGGCCTCAAACTCAGAGATCCCACTGTCTCTGTCTCAGAGCCCTGGGATTAAAGGTGTGCGCCGCCGCTGGGGCCGCCGCCACCACCACACCGCTACTTAATTTTATTTATATGTATATGTTTGTGTTTGCATGAGTGAACATCACCAGTGCTGGTGTCTGAGGAGGCCAGAAGGGGTCGTCAGATTCCCAGGAGTTACAAGCTGCTATGACAGCACATAGATGCTGGGAACTGAGCTCAGGTCCTCTGGAAGAGCAGTGTACTAGCTGATTGACGACCGATGTGGATGAGCCCAGCTCAGTGTGGGCAGTGCCACCCCTGGACTAGTGGTATTAGGTGCTATAAGAAGCCAAGCTGAACTGGGCGGTGGTGGCACTCGCTTTTAATCCCAGCACTTGGGAAGCAGAGCCAGGCAGATCTGTGAGTTCGAGGTCAGCCTGGTCTACAATGCGAGATCCAGGACAGGCACCAAAAACTACCCAGAGAAATCCTGTCTCGGAAAAAAAAAAACAAAAACCAAAACAAACAAAAAACAAAACAAAACAGAAAAACAGGCTGAGCAGTCATGAGAAACAGGCCAATAGGCAGCACATTCCTCCATGGTTTCTGCTTCAGTTTTTACCTCCAGTTTCCTGCCCTGACTTCCATGGGTGATGCTGTAATGTGGAAGTGCAAGCTGAAATTAACCCTTTCCTTCCCAACTCGCTTTTGGTCATGGTGTTGGAAAGCTAACAGCAAGCAAACTTAGCCACTAAGCCATCTAAGAGAACTGACTCCAGAGGGTTATCCTTTGACCTCCACGTAGCACTAGCACACACATGTAAGCCCACATAGGCAAACACATATATATGCACACCACACACATATATGTACTATATGCATATATATGTTTATATGGATAATTACATGCATTCATATATTACATGCATGCATGTTTAGGGAACAGTGCAAAGCGGAGCTCACAGAGTCTTGGCTCTTGATAAAGCCCTTCAGTAGCACTTCAAGCCACAAGGAAAGAACAAAGATTCTAAGATAAAGCACCTTGACTGCGTATTCCTAACTCTCCCTGTTCTGCCTGCACACCAGAAGAGGGCACCAGATCTCATTACAGATAGTTGTGAGCCACCATGTGGTTGCTGGGAATTGAACTCGGGATCTCTAGGAGGAGCAGCCAGTGCTCTTAACCTCTGAGCCATCTCAGAGCCAGCCCAACGCTCCCCTTTCTGAAGGCTCCTGTCCTAGTTAGGGTTTCCATTGCCAGCACCTTGGGGAGGAAGGGGTTTATTTGACTTACACTTCCATCATAGTCCATCACTGAAGGAAGTCAGGACAGAAATTCAAACAAGGCAGGAACCTGGAGGCAGGATCTGATGCAGAGGCCACAGAAGGGTGCTGCTTACTGGTTTGCTCAACCTGCTTTTTTTTTTTTTTTTTTTTTTTTTTTTTTTTTTTTACTTATTTAGAGCTTTATTGGGGGAGGAGGAGCCGACGGGAGGAAGGAGTGGAGAGGAGAGGGGACCCAACCTGCTTTCTTATAGAACCCAGGACTACCAGCCCAGGGATAGCACCACCCACAATGGGCTAGGTCCTCCCCCATAAAATGTCCAAGCTAGCATGGTGGTGCAGGCCTTTAATCCCAGAGGCAGAGGCAGGTGGATCTCTGTGAGCTCAAGGTCAGCCTGGTCTATAAAGCGAGTTCCAGGACAGCCAGAGCTGTTACACAGAGAAACCCTGTCTTGAAAAAACTAAACCAAGAAGAAGATGAAGGAGGAGAAGGAGAAGAAGAAAAGAAGGAAGAAAGGAAGGAAGGAAAAAATACCCTACAGCTTTCCTACAGCCTGATCTTATGGAGGCATTTTCCTCATTTGAGGTTACCTCCTTTCAGATGACTCTAGCTTGTGTCAAGTTGAAACTAGCCAGCATAACTCCCATTATTGCCATCACCTCATCCCAGAACAGACCCCCTCTTGCTATTTACTCTAACAAGGAATAGTCTTGCTGTATCCCTCCAGAGGAAGGGCCCACCCTCAGACTGTTCATTCACCTAGTGGACTCCTGATAACAGGTGCTTGGCAGGGACGCGGCAGGGGGATCCAAACTGAAGCGGTGTGTGTATGTCATTCACTCATCAGTTATTTATTGCCTGCCAAGCACTGGAGTAGATACCGAGAATACAGTAGTCAACAAAAATGACCCAACCTCTGCCCTCCATGCGCTTGCAATTTAAGAATCAACAACATAATAAGCAACCATTTAATTTTGAAAGGCAACCTGGCCCGGAGGCTGTCTTAGGACCTAGGAACCAGACACATGCTACAGAAGGGGAGGGTCCTCACCAGCCTTGGAGGGGGTGGTCGGGGTCTTAATCTCTGCAGTGCAAACTTGGCTGGATGCAGCCTTGGATCAGGGGAGCCTCTCTGGGCATCCGAATCACCATGGATACAAAGGTTATTTCCAGCTTCAGTTTGTTGTCCCTTGTTTTGCAAACAGCACAACCGAGCCTCGCCCCCCCCCCAGCACCCCCACCTCTGCCCTCTAGATCTAGGCTATTTATTCCTAGTGACAAGCCTGAGGATCCCAGGGGGGGTGGCCTCAAGGACCTGGATGGGCCTTGTGTCCCTGGCAGGCTCTAGTCCGCCCTTCCCGGCACAGGATAGAAGCTGGAGGGTCAGAAACTGCAGAAGTCCCCTTCCCTCTCCTTCACCACCCCTGCCTGCAGCAACAGAACCACTCACATTCTTCACACCCCTCCCAAGAAACCCAAAGCTCATGGGGCCAAGGATCGGGGGTCTCCCTGAGCCTGAAAGGTCAAAACTATTCCTGGGGCACTGGAGAAACCTCAGTGCCAGGGTACAGCTGAGGGTGGGGGGGTTGCTGCCTGGGCTTTCGCCACTCAGTTATAGAATAAAGCCCTTTGAAATTGAGGAGGATAAAGGCTCTTTCTCTTTAGCCCAAGTTTCTAGAAAATACCTTGATCTCCGCTGGTAAGGCTATGCCAGCAGACTCAAACCACCCCCTCCCGCAGGCTGGATTACGGCCTCCTTCACAAGCTAAGGTTTAGAGTAACATCTAGGGATGAGCTAGGAAGAGAAGATGAGGGGGTTTGGTCCCCAGATGGACCCTGGTCCTGCACCCCTGGCCTGGGATCGCTTCCAGCAGTTCCCCTGAGTCCGAAGGGGCATGGGGGGCGGGGGCGGGCCAGGCTGCAGGGGACG